AGGGAAAGTTGTTTATTAAGAACAGCGCTTTGGGTGATGATGATTTGGCGTTTATACAACAGAAACATCACATTTGGAATAGATTATCATTATTCTCACAAGCACTCAGGATCGTTTCGACAGTAGACGCGCATTTTCTTTACCAAAGCACCTACATTCATCCACTCGCAGATTCCGTGGGAATCTACTAGCCGCTTCTTGGTGCATGCGAACTACTCACAAGTGCCCTGTAGTACCTCACAACACCTGTGTTGAATGCGGTTCATTAGTTCTTGTAGAGTAGAGATTTCATAGTGTATCGATTTATTAAAATAAAAATATCTTGTCGAGGTAAAAAAACGCAGCACAACGAGGAAAACTGGGTGTTAATCGAAAGATTCCGTTTGTAGATGCGTTAGACAAGTCAGCGTGGTTGCGGATTGTTATTGTATGTTTGAATATTCACATTAGTGTGGAATAAGAAAATCAGTCATTGCAGTCATTGCTTGACTCATGATTCCCATTGATGCGTGCCATTCACGCCGATTGTAGGATTACTAATTCACAACGGTACAAAACAGTAATTCTCGAAACCCCTTCATCTATTGCTTTGAAAAGTTACTCTCGTTTCGGGATGAAAACGGATGAAGATTTAGAATAAATTACCGCAACCCTTTTAAAAACCATTTATCAAAGCTATCTAGTTTGTATATATGATCATAGGAGAGCGTGTTTTAGTGAGGGCCAATGAATGCAACTCTTGTTATTTTACATGAGGTCGGGCATTGAAAGCCGAAATGGAAGCAACTGAATTACTCCACCCGGATTAATCTATGAGGACAAGATTTTCGTTTGGTAGACAGCTCTTTATGATCCATGACCGAATGGAATAAATGTCGTTCAGGTGTTCAAGTAATCCAACGATTGCTGTACATGAGGACGCTTTGAAGTTTCTTAGCGAAAGTTCAGTTTATTAAACTTAATTGGGTTTTTCCTAAATTCTTAAATTCGTTCTTGCTTTACTCTAATTAGGATAATCTTCATTTTCTAGGCACTTTTTCATCTTTAATTGTTATTTTTTGCCAAAAAAGACAGAAAGTATCATCTGGATGATAATATACAAATTTATGGTGTTTAGATGAGTCTAATGTCAGCACAGAATCTATTTTCCGTCTTTTGTAATGAAAAGATGAATGAAGAGACGAAATATCCCAGAATCGCAGGAGGTTCCTGTCGTTTATTAAGCACGCGTCTACGGTATGTTTTTGATATATCATTTTCAAACATTGAGTTTCCTTTGTTAATTGCATTTCCAGACCTCCTGCATTCACACATCTCGGAATCTAGTGCTATCCACGCTAATTATTATTATAACCACCATGTAGAATGGATCTTGGCATCGAGTTTGCCGAGGATGGATACATTTTACGCAAAATACATCTTCAAACCACCAACTGATATACTTATGGTCTTTTAACCACTCTTGAAAATGAACATGCTAACATTGTTGTGTTATTCACATCAGGCTATCAAGTTAAATGTTGACATAATAACGGAGTACCGGAAGGACAAGTGTGCTGGCACGTAAAAGCCATTAAACCGAATCTGAGCTTCTGAAGTGTTTCCTTAACTTTCCTCAATACCGCTACCGCAGATTACTACTTGTTTTCTTCGGATATTTTGGACTTGATAGAGAAATATATTTGAATAGATAAATCATATTTTGTCCAAGCACATCGCGGTGGACCGCATTAGCGTTCGTGTAGGGAACAAGCTCACTCACCGAAGCAATGAATGATTAGATGATCAGTCCCAATTTGGTCGTAAAAAGGTTAACACAACAGCGCACATTTCGTGCACCGATTTTATGTTTGCAATCAGAGTGGGGTGTGATTAAATTCTGAACAGGTCACTTGTTATTATTTGCTTCTTTATTTGTTGGTTTATGTTTATCACTGAAATGTTGGCCAATTTTACGTTTTTAATAAAAAAGAACCATATAAGGTTGCTTGCTAGATTATGGAAGACATTCTCTAGATGAATCCTGATACGATTACTAGATTCTTTTGATATCGAACTCACGTATGTACGTCATCAGTTAATATACGATGTCACACTGTTAGCGACAAAGGTTTAATTTCGTAACCTACAAAACACCATTATTGGAACAAATGAGGTAGCAATTATTGCACACCTAGTAGATTCCGATGGATCCCAGGGACAGTATGCCGTAGCAATCGGCTAAATCACTATCCGGTGGATTCCACATATCTTTGTAAGTTGCGTGGGCTATCCAAATGTGGGAAGATCAGTGCTACTGTTTATCCGCTCGCGTTACGGAATCTTTAAAACATTGTAGACTGCACCCATGTGTGAGTTTGAATTCAACAGAGATGACTGATGATTGAAAAACTGAAAGAAAGAGTATCGTTATTGGAAATATTGCATGTAAACCCGTTGAATGTCACTTTAAGCTGGGCTTTATTCGACGTATAGTATAAAAACAAAAACTGAAGTAACATAATCCGTCCGTAATTTTGGGCACTGGTGTGAAAATAACAACAACAAAGGTTTCGAGCGTATTAAGCAAGATGGCAATTGAAAAATATGTTAAAACTATAGCTGAGAACAAGCATAATGTTTGGCCCAAAAACTGCGTTGTGTAAATACTATATTTAGTTCCTCATAAAACTACAGACTTGTTTGATTTTCATTAGCTAACAAGCATGCATGAGTGCGTAACATCTTGCGTCTCACTGAATGTTTAAGTCTGATTCGTATATCCTGATGATTGTAAACGACCGATACTAAGCTCAATTAGAGTGCGACTCCGCCATATGAGACGAGCTTAGTTGCCCCATTACTCAACAATATCGAAACACGGACTCCCTCTCTCTTTGCACAAACATATATATATACAGTGAAACGAGCTTTACTGATCGCTGTCAAGCTCATACTGTACACAAAATATGTGATAAAGCACAATATGTAGAGGGATTGGGCTCATTTGGAGGTAGGCGAAGAAATTGAGCTTCTATGGTCAACACGCAGAATACACAATCTAATTGTGCGTACGTACATTTTCAAGTATTCTGATCTGATAAGTATTGACCAAAAGAACGCAACTGCTGTTGGTTGGTTGCCATACCTTCAGTGTCTCCAACCAACCAGTTACAGTCTTTTGGACTCCATCCTAGCGGACGGAAGATACCTACTCTACCTAATCGCTTTGTGCATTCGAACAGCCATACAATGTCATCGGCGTACTCCACATGGCACAGCTTTTCTTCAGCTGCCCGTTCAAGACCAACATTTTGGAGAACACTCCGTGCTTTTCCCAGTACTTCATCTACCACGAAATTGAACGGGAATGACGAAATAGGGCACCCTTGACGAACACCGCTGCTGGTTTCGAACGAGGTACGTGGCCCACTGTAGACCCTTACGCTACCAGAAGTAGGGAACTATAGCGATTGCAATAGGTTTATTTACTTTTGCGGCATTCTTTTGCCAGGTAATGACCCAATAAGAGCTTCATGGTTAACTGAATAGAAGGTTGCTTTTAGGTCAAAGAACACTACGATTGTTGGCCGACGATGTGTGTGACGCAATTCGAGGATTTGCCGCAAAGTGAAGATTTGGTCCATGTTACGGTTGCCTGCTCGGAATCCGGCTTGATATTCGCGGATATTCACCTCCCTCAAGGATGTCGGGCGGCGAAGGATCACAGAAGTAAACATTTTTGTAATTATCGGAACAAAACTAATCCCGCCTTGGTTAGCGCAATCGTTGTGTGATCCCTTCTTGACGACCCGAACGATCAACGATTCACCCCAGGATAACGGGATAGGCTTCTCTGACCAAAGGCTACGAAGTATGCTAGTAATCGAGTCGATAAGAGAATCGCCACCTTCCTTGAAAAGAATAGGGAGAAGCCCTTGAAGTCCCGTCGCGTTATAAGCAGATGTTGACTATGGCACACGGATAAATGTTCAAAGAATACGGTTGGTCACTACTGCACGCAGTGAAGTATTCCGGTCAGATCCATTTCAGCTGAGGATCACTTAGCTGCCCATTAAGAACACGGGGCGTTAAAATAAATCAACGCCATTTCACATTTAACCGATTCCGTATTGTTAAATAATCTCTCACAGTGATTCAGTTGCGGTAAACTGATTTCAGTCATGATGACATCAGATATTGCATGCTTTTATACTAACAGTGCACGACCGTTTACGGGCAAAAAGGTCCTCTGCTTGATCTGCATTTTTGTCTAGACGCTTTATTCGTCGTTTTTGGTTCAATGAGTTTTACGTTCATTTGTGGAATTTTGTTTTGGTTGCTGTGGTAAACTACACTGTTCACGGAAATTATCAGTACGGTAAACGAATTCCAATGAAAGTGCCCGGAGGCATTCTATCTAACCGAACAGTTTTTTGTCAAAAATACGATGGATTACTGCTAAGATCTTTTCCTCAGCACGATTTCAAAAAATATAAACAATACAAGTGCTTAGGTATGCACGGAAAAAAATGTAAAATGTTGTGTGAATTTGCCGAAATTTTTGTAAACGTTTCCGGTGAATGAGTTTCTGGAAACCGGGTCGCGAATTCAACAACGTTGAATACCCATCACACTGCCTTGAAGAATTCTTTCCTGCTTTCGGATGGATAGTTCTGGTCACTTGAGTTTTGTCCGTAGCTCAATCGACTGTCGATACCGGTAAACAGTCCGGAAATTTGTGAACATCGTCTAATGGTTTTTGCTTTGGAATGAAATACTCATATAATAAATTACGCATGACAACCCCGAGTAGATTAATTTATTCGAAGGAATGCGTACATTGTGGAAAACGCGAATACATCAATTTGTTTGTTGATCACAATCAAATGGCACTTCTGACGTGAGTGTTGCTTGTCAGATTTAAAGGGGAAATGAAGGAAGTATAGTTCGCCTTTTTAATTTGCAAATTAACAGCCAAGATGCTGTGCAAGGCTGCGAAATAGGCCCAACAAACTCACTTAAGAATCCATGTTGCACAAGTGTGATTCGAACATTCACATTGGCCGGGTCGGGGATCTTTTGGAAGACAAATGACTCGTCAAAGCTTTCTCTTGTACCCAGAGGTTCCGTTTTCTTATTTTTCAGTTCCTTACCTTGCAGACCCTGATAAACGACCACGCGAGCATACACATCTGTCGTGAGATTGAGGAAGTGATTGGGAAACGTATCAACATTTGCAAAATGAAGGATAACCCAATAATACCTCAATTAGAACTTTAAGAAAACAGTAATCATGATTATATGCAAAGAACAAAAATCAATTCACGGAACAGCTTTTCATGATCAAATGTGCATATCATCTTTTCTATTATGAAAATAGGTATCTCACTGAATGGGTGGCAAGAAAATCGGTTTCATTTTTCTGTTGAATTATGTCTGATGATATATAAGGTTTACTTTAGGGGAGAAAACTAAAAACCAAATCACACTTCTTGATCACTGCTTCAAACGCTGCTAAGGGTGTTTATTTAACGCTTTATGTAGAGAAGAAGCACGTGGTTGAGATAACACATCCATTTGCACATTTTTGTTCAACTCAAAAGAATGCAAAACGCGATCCTGTGTCTCGCCAACAGGATGCGGCAAATCTGCTCGCTTAATACAATTCAAAGCGAATTAGATTTCTTAGGCCACGTCTCAGAAAACGATAATTCATTTGTGAGAAATCTACAGAAAACTCCCATTTGCAGGTTACACTCTGATGAAGATAGATTCTTCAAGATTGATAACTACGGCCAGTGAACCGTTTCATGCAGCTAACTCAAAAATAAAATACTTAGTTCCGCGACCTCATTCTGTATTTAATCGTTTACTTGTTCCTGTGGGACAACGTACAGCGGTCGCATGAGCAGACGCCTGACTCAGAGAGTGTGCAAGCATCATCCGGTTTGGTGACACACTGGGGTGACAAAGGTAATTAAGAACGCATTCTGCTCATCTCTTATTGAGTCAAATCACTTGGTTGACATGGCGAGGGCCTTTCACAATCTGTATCAGTTTTTTAATTAGATTAAGCAGAACATCCTGATCATAGAGGAATCATTGGGAATTCCCATTCTTGGCCATCCCTTCCCTCTTTTTGTGTGCACAGAAACGATTCACGATATCTTTGTGTCTCCCAAGGCACTTCAACCACCTTGCTTCTACTCGTGCATCACACCCGAACTACATCCCATACCGGAAACAGAAGATATGATCTACTTTTTAAAAGTTTAATACTGCTACCGCCCTCTCCCTGTTTTTCGTCCGTTTTATTTAAATTGTGACGTAGTAACGAAGAAAAAAAGTTCACTGAAAAAACTCTTATTCTCTACTTCGTATTCTTACCAATCGCATGCCTATAGAGTATTCTTTCAAAATCAAAAGACAGAACAGTGGAGCAAGAAAAAAGTAGTACTAACTAAAATAAAATGCAAGAACTTCCAAAACACTATACTGGACAAACTGCATGAAAATTGTTGTCATGGCTGTGTGAACGTCAATTGGTAGTCAGTAGGCATGACCCATTATCTTTGATTTACTTCCAATACGATCATAAATGGCGTCAATTGGATTTGGAATAAGTGAGAACCATCCACAAAGCCCGGCCAAAACACGCCAAATAACTTCTCGAAGCTTGCAAATCTTCATTCAACTCAGTGAATAGATACATTGGACTCGATCACGTTCACACGCCAATTCAATTCAAGGTCCAAATGACGCAACCAAAGGTCACACCATTAGTCGAGTACGGACCAAACACTACAATTTAGCAGGAAGGAGAAGCCCTCCCATCTCCCATCACATACACATTCAACGGTGAACCAGGTGGAACGTAGACAGAACACGGGACAAAAATAGTTGCTGGAGGAGACACATAAGCGAATGGGTACAAGCAGAACAGTGCAACTTCACAAGCACTGGAGACGTCACCTCGGCTGAGGATAAAACGTTTGCGAATAAGTTTTCAAGTTCGGCGAACAGGTAAAAATGAATATTGTGCTTCATTTGAAATGGGTTTGGGTCGTCTAGTCGGACTAATCTGATAGTTCCCTATGAAACACGTTTTTTGTGCCTTTACCGGTGTGAAGTATCATTCATTTTACTTGCTAATTTATTCAGTCCTGATTATTTTGGAAGCCACATTTGTAGTCCCATTCACCTACATGTTAAATCATCAGCATGTCATCTACCACTATTTGATTCCGTGACTATCCCTCAGCATCTGAGGTCCGGGTAACCAGCACCGATTTATCACGCCAGTCTACTGTTTTGTTGCACCTCGATCAAATAGTCCAATCTTATTCTTCCGCCTAATCCCTGTCTACCTCTTCACATTGTGTTTGTTATTCCGTTGGAGTACCGCTTAGTTAATTATTGACTCAATTTCTTTTTCATGAGCCAATTGACAATTATTCACATATACTCCCTGTCACCAACTCCAACCTTTATTTCGTCGGAGAGAAAGAAAAGCATTGCCGTTCGCATGTTTGGCTCTCGCTGGGTATTTTTATCTTCACTGGTTCGGATTTTGAGAACTCAATTGTTGGGTAAGTGTAGTTGATTAACTCTGGAACCTTCTGTTGTTTCCCGTACGGTTTCGGTGTTACGACATGAATTTAAAATGGATACACCCCGAGGAAAGATAGATTTAATTGCTGATACGCCTTATCACTCGATGTTGATTGATAGAATATCGTAGTGACTCAACATTCTTGAGGTTTTGGCTTATCCAAAATTAAGTGAAGCAGTCTTCAAGACTCCAAGTTCAATTTTATTTGTTAGCACTACCATGGGCAACTACTAAATTTGTGGTGTTTTCCCCGTTTTGATGAGAAGTTGAAAAGATCGACTATTTCATCAATGGATAGAATAATTTCAGGATGGATTTTTGTTCGGACCAGTAGTAGTTGCTGTCTCGATTAGGCCAATCGACACAGTCCGTGGGCAGTCCTTGGAGCAAATGGTTCGACTGGAAGTAGACCTCATTTCTTTCTCTATGCTGCTCAACTTCACTGGCTGGTTGGAAAAATATGCGCAAGTGAACATCATCTGAGCAACGTTCGATGTGACGTAGTGAGCCAAATGTTGACCAACAGTAAGACAGAAAAATTCCAAAGGGTTCCTTAATCATTCAAATTTTCCCTTGGTGATTCGAGGAGCGTACGTCCCTAAATGCCCACTCTCATCCACGAGAGTATTATTGATAGAATCTTGGTTCAAAGTGAAGCATTCAATGCCATATTTCATAAGTTTTGTGAATACAATTACTCAAAATTGTCCCTTTACATTCACACATGGCATGAGTGTTATATCCGAAGTGAAACTTTGTTTCTCCAGAACTTTGTTCTGATATTTACATGAAGACCATGATAAACTTCGGTAACCGAATGCATTTAAGGTATTCAAAACTTTTCTTAGCCAACTAAACTCAAAACCAATACTCCTAGTTGCACACTTATTCACGCAGATAATGGCTTCATTTATTCAGTTTGTGTACTTATGAAACAGTGTCCTGAGTCTTTGATTATGTTAACCTTCAGAAGGATATCATTTGCATCTAGTGAAAGGCTGGATAAACTCTGGCAACCGAAGTTGTACAGTGATATCACATGGAATTTAAGAAACGTCGCTCAACAACCATGATGAACCATTTCCCTAGCCAGTATGCGGTCCTTTAGCCAACTTTCCCATAACATGAGGCGTAACACTAGTGTGGGTGGAGCTGCTAATCGTGAACAATTTGCTTTATTGTTTTCAAATGTTAGCAAAACGTCTCCTTTGCATTTCCACCATACCAATCACTTGTTTTTCCCACATGCAACTATTGATCCAGTCCCTCCGCACTCGGAAGAACAATTTGTCTTCCATGTTTGTTCGTTATACCTTTTTTGCTGTTCTAATTGCATATCCCAGCCTACATATCCGACTAAGCACAACGGTTTTCTCCTGTTCCATATCTTTGCCTTAACTAATCAACTCCCTGCCACTTCAATTATCCAAGATACCAATCTGCAACACGCTCCACTACTGCAGTCACGTGTGGTACGGCACATGAGGCTGTACTATATGAATACTTTATCGGGTTCAATTCAGCCACTCTTTCAGTCTTTCCAAATCTGCCACCCTCATTCCCTAGCCAAATAGTTTCTTTTGTTTCTTTTTAAACGTCGCCATTTAG